AGAACTTGAAACCTTTGTTCTTGGATTCTGTTATAACCCTCTTGGAACCATGGAAACCTCAACTCTGGAAGGAGAACGGGTGGGGAGGGAGAAGGTGCAGGAAGGAAGGAGGATGGGCAGGAGAAGCAGGGTTCACGTGACTCATTCATAATGAAAAAGAGCAGAGAGGATTCTCTCTGGCTGCACTAGCAGCTAATGGTGAGATAAAAATTGCCGCCCTCTCAGCGGCACCACGGTGTGGCGAGTGGCCAGGGCCCAGGGTCAGTGGCCTCCTGGGAGGACTAGTGCTGTTTTGTGGTGTGAATGTGGTTCTGGCTGGGTGATGTCTGAGCCTGGTCCACCAGCCCTTCCGGAGATTCTGTGAGTTATCCAGTGGCCTACAAATAAAGTCCTGTTCTACTTGAATTAGCCGGAGCTGGATTCTGTTTGCCTGAAACTAAGAACCTGATCGGTGCTAGAGTCAGAAGAGTAAGGAAAAATGGAGTTGATGTATCCCAGCAGTACCCAGACGAAGAGCAAGCATAAAGGAGCAGAGCCCCGCGGCTCTCTCTCAAACCGTCCCGCAGCCTTGGTGGTCTGTCATAACCCGGAGTCACTAGATCATTAGAAAAGCCAGCAGGATGCCTGCCCCGGGATCTTGGTAGAAATCCAAATTCTTGGGCCTTGCCCCAGCCCAACTGCATCATAGCCTTCAGGTTTGGAGGCTGTATTTCCTGCACTTTTTTTTTTTTTTAAGATTTATTTTTTTGCGGGGGGAGGAGTAGAAAGAGAGAATCTTCAAGATCTTCAAGCCGACTCCCCGCTGAGCGCAGAGCCCAACGTGGGGCTCGATCTCACAACCCTGAGATCTTGACCTGAGCCAAAACCAAGAGCCAGATGCTCAACCGACTGCGCCACCCAGACGCCCCTATTTCCTGCTTTGGAATGAAATCTCCCAGCCGTGTTCGTGTGCACCACAGTTTGCGAGGCACCGCTGGGCTGAATGGTGAGTTCAACTCCCCAGGTGAGATTCCAGGATTAGCTATGGGTGCAGAGCTCTTATGCTGGGAAGGAATTAAAGCCCATGGCAGACAAAGCATTGATTCTATAGAGAGAAGTGATTTGCCCAAGACCAATCAATTTACGGGGGCAGGCATGGAGAGAACAGAGGAGTCTGGAAGACAAAGAACGTTGGATCCAGGAGGGAGGGAGCTTGTGGTCATCTGGTGTTATCAGTCAGGCTCCACCAGGAAGACAAACAGCTCTGATTATCTAAAGCAGAGCATTTAATACACAGAATTGGTTCCATAGATGGTGGAGGAGCTGAGAGAGCAAACAGATGGTGTGGCCATCCAGGGACGCGTGACAGCAGGAAGCCCCTCTCCCTGGGTGAGAGGGAGACAGGCGGTGATATTAGCAGAGGCCGGGTGCAGAGGCCAGGGGCAGGGCCGAGCAGCCGAGAGCTCACACCTGCCTCCCATCTCAGGAAGCTCACACCTGCCTCCCACCCTGCACACTGCATGGCCCAGGAAAATGAAAGAGCCTGAAATGCCTTTTGCCCCGAGCATTCCTCGCACCATCTAAGATAATGGCTGAAACCTGAGGCTTCCTAAAGCCGGGGCTGGGACTCGGCTTCTTGCCACGCACTGTTTCTCAGCCTGCTTATGGAGGAAGGCCAACCTGGCTGAAATTGGGCAAGTGGAATTCTAGAAAGCGCAGTCCGGAGGGCTGGAGCCAGGTCTTAAAGCCAGCATCCTCGTTTATAGATAAAGGATCTGAGCCCCAGAGAGGGGATGTGACCTGCCCAAAGCCACAGCAGGACTTAGCGGTGATTCCACTTATCCAGACATCTGCAGGAGCATCTCTCCCTCTAAGTGACTCACTTCCCAGGGGCCATGAATCAAGGAAGCGGGAGAGTTGGCCAGGAAAAGGGCCAGCGTCCACCGTGCTTCCTCCGCAGCCTGTCTGATGGGAGGGGGCGCGACGGTCCACAGCCCGGCCAGACTCAGCTGACAGCAAGCAAGCTGCCCAGCAACAGCCAGAGCCAAGGGGGGCCCGGCAAGTCGGGGGGCCCGGCTCTCCCCGTGGCTTTGCCGCTCGTCAGACCCAACTCGGTGATCCTGAAGGTCGCTTCTGGCTCTTGGATGTCACGAAATCCGTCAGCGGCTTGCTGTTCTGCCTGTGTCATTTTATGAACCATGTTTGTTTGCAGAACAGACTCCTTTCATCTCAGGCCTGTGCATTCGGCTCGGGCCACTTGACCCTTCTGTCAATATTCAGCCCAGCTAAACAAGGCAGCGCCTTCCAGTCTGGGTCCCCAAACACATCATTAGCTGGGAAGACATTGGAAGCAATGCATCCTCCTGGCTGTGCTGTCAACTTTGATTTCAGAGGTACAAGGACATGTGACACTTTGTCCCCGTGAGCTGACCAACGCTTGAAAAATCTGAAGAGATCACGCCGATGAACTCGTACAATACTGCATGAAATATGCTTTTCATATTTCATCCAAGGCTATTTACTTTCCCGTGAGATAGATAGGCAGATAAATAGAAATTGGGAGCATTGTCTTTACAAGAAGACATTTTTCTTGAGGTGATTTTTGTCTAGGAATGTCAAGGTACTTTACATCCCAAGACATGACCTAAATGTCTGGGTAGAAAGCAGGAGTTGAGTTTTAATTTTGCCTCCCAGTCTGTCCTTCAGCCACACACCCCATTGTAAAGCTGAGATTCAGTGCTTGGATCGTGAAAAGTAAGCGCTCTGTCAGTGCGCACCAAGTATTTTGAAAATGCGTGCTGTTTAATCTTAGCACCTTGGCCAGTACTAGCCAAATGTTAGTCGTTCAGATAGCCAAGTTCAAATGCATTGTGTAGCCTCTTCCCAGGCCAAGGCACCAGAAATCAGCAAATTATTTATATCTAGGTCCTAAGTTAATTATTGAAAAATGTTTTTTAATCTTCTCTTTATATGGTGGTGTAAGACGCTTGTGCTGGGCATCAGATGGTTAAAAGCAGAGGTGTAAAGAATGCATTCTCCTGGTCTGGATGGGGTTTGGCCCTGCCTCTGTAGAATAGAAGGAACAAGGGACACCTGGGTGGCTCACTCAGTTAAGCATCCAACTCTTGATTTCGGCTCAGGTCATGATCTCAGCGTTGTGGGATCGAGCACCCGTCTGGCTCTATTCAGGGTGTGGAGCCTGCTGAAGGTTCTCTCTCCCTCTCCCTCTGCCCCACCCCTTCCTCCCCCATCTTGTGCACACGTGCCTGAGCATTCTCTCAAAAATAGTAATAGCAATAATCATACCTTTAAAAAAAATAGATGGAACAACACGCTGTAGAAATAGGTTTGTTTTGTTTCCAAGGGAAAGCCTCTTCCTGCCGCTATTCCTATTCGGAAGACAGTGTCTTTCCGACAATTCGCCAGGTTTTCCTAAGGGAAAAGAAAAAAAGCGCCCCCTACAGTCAGTGAGAGGGAATCACAGAGTGTGTGGTTAAGAAAACCTGTAAGGGCAACTAAGCAGAAGCAGCCCAGATGTGCAAGGCCGCCCAGATGTGCCAGGAGGCTGGGGAGGAGCCGTAGGAGCAGGAGAGAGGGCGCAGAGTGAAGCCAGGACAGACTGAGGACACAGGAGCTACGAGACACCACACTGTGAGCCACGGGGCGGCAGACACAAGTCAAAGGAGCTGGGCATGTGCTCCTAGGACAGGCTTTCCAGACCGGAAAGGTGGGTGCACACACCCTGGACAGCCCTTCTCACCTGGGATCTCAATAAATTAAATTCTTTTTTTTTTTAAAGATTTTATTTTATTTATTTGTTTGACAGAGAGAGACACAGCGAGAGAGGGAACACAAGCAGGGGGAGTGGGAGAGGGAGAAGCAGGCTTCCCACCGAGCAGGGAGCCCGATGTGGGGCTCGATCCCAGGACCCTGGGATCACGACCTGAACCGAAGGCAGACGCTTAACGACTGAGCCACCCAGGCGCCCTCAATAAATTAAATTCTAATGCCTTAAGAAATCCACTGTATGTTGGGGTGTTGGGGCGCCTGGACAGCACAGTTGGTTAAGCGCCAGACTCTTGGTTGTTGCTCAGGTCATGATCTCAGGGTTGTGAGATCAAGATCTGCATCAGGCTCCTCGCTCAGCACGGAGCCTGCTGGAGATTCTCTTTCTCCCTCTCCCTCTGCCCCTAATGTTCATGCTCTCTCTCTCTCTCAAATCGATAAATTGATTTTTAAAAATCCTTTTTAAATATCCGTTGTATATTAACATCGATGTTAATTGTATATGCACACACATAAGGGATCCATTGCACATAATACATACAGACATGCATGCATCGGCATGGCATCCCCTCTATGTAACACACTGATACACGGAGATTCTCATGGAGGAGGTTTACTGGAGAATCAACACTTAGAAGGGAGTGAAGTGCAGGATGAGGCAGAGGGAAGAGCCCAAGTATGATGTGAGATGTCGTCACGGCAAAGACCTCAGCCAATCCCATGGCCCCACGGGGGCCCTAGAATTTTGACCCTCCAGAGTTGTCTGCCTTGACAAAGGGGGACCAAGAATGTGTACCCCCTTCAATAACCAATCACTGGGTGCGGACTGCCCCTGGGGAGGGCATATCCTTGGATGAGAAAGTTTTCTTTGACTGAAGGCAACACCTGAAGGGTCAGCTGAGAGTGGTCAGCCGCCAAGGCCCCCAGCAGCCAGGGAGGGAGCGCCTCAGTCCGGGGGGTGGGCACTGGTCTAGCGCCTCTGGAGACCCAGACAGGATTGGCCCAGAGCTGGTGGAAGTTCAGAGCCTCCCCAGAACTGCAGTGAAGCCCAGGACAACTTGTGTTCTTCGGGCTTCTTGGTCTCAGCCTTGTTTTGTGATCCCCCGAGCCACGTACAACCGTTTTCAGGTCCGGGTGACTTTAGCAGAGCCTTCAGGAAGAGCTGACAGAGGCCTCCCCCCTCCTGGCATGGCCTCCCCCCTCCTGGCACAGCCTCTCCACTCCTGGTATGGCCTCCCCCTTCCTGGCTTCCTCCCATCTCAATTCCCTTGTCACTCTTTGCTCTCAACTTTCTCCTGGCCTCGCAGAAGCTGAACAATATCCGTGGAGCCTTCCACTCCATCGAGATGGAATCAGCTTCTCCCTTCCACCTGAAACAACAACAAGACAGGACAATAAAACAGTGACACGCAAGACACGGGACGGCAGGTGATGAAGGACAGTGATGCCCCGGAGCCCGGCAACAGGTGAGGGGGCCCTGCCATTACGCCGGCTGCCTTGGGAGAGACACTTTCCAGGCTGTGGCAGCAGGACAGGACCCAGGCAGAGTGCCGCCACTTCTGTGACCTGAGGATGAGCAAGTCCAAGTCCGGGGAGCCGGGTGGCTCTAGCTGCCGAAGGAGGACCAGATAGGAGAGAAGAGCTCCAGAGCTCCGTGGACAGTGCCTTCAGGACTCGGCAGAGTGCTCCTTCCTCAGCACAGGTGGATGAGGAAAAGAGATAGCAAATAAAACACGGGCTAAATGAAAATATGCAAACCACAGAGAAGTCCATGACAATGAAAATCAACCAGTCTAGAATAACAGTGGTTGGCGTTAAGGAAGTTGTAGGAGTTTGCTAGGGCTGCGGTAACAAATTATCACAGAGTGAGGAGCTCAATCTACTGACAGCTCTGGGGGGTGGAAGTCCAAGATCCGGCTGTCAGCAGGGCTGGTGCCTCGCGGGGGCAGCGAGGGAGACTCTGTCCCAGGCCCCTGTCCCAGCTTCTGCAGCCTTGGGTGTCCCCCGGCTTGTGGATGGCTGTCTTCTCCCTTTGTCTTCACACTGTCTTCCCTCTGAGCGTGTCTGTCTCTGTGACCTTGTTTTAATTTGATTGCCTGTGTAAAAACACTCTCTCTAAATACGGCCATGTTCTGAGGTACTGGGGCTTAGTTTCTTGTGGGGACACAGTTCAAACCATAATAGATCTTAAATGAAGTTGCTGGCTGTAGTATAGGAAATGAACAGTAGACAAAACATCACGAAACCGAGATTCTAGTTTTAGCAGGAGAGTAATAGGGGTTGAACTGAAGAGGAAAGGCAAATAGGTTTTACATTCCATGCCCTCTACATTCACTAGTAGATGGCGTGGAATCTACTATGGTCTACCATGGAGACTCGCCCACTGAGTCTCTGGCTTGCTGTGTTGAGAAGGATTCAGAGGCTGCCTCTGGGCCCCACAAAAAAACCCCTCTGATTGAAGGTTTTCTACAGGTGTAGGCGAGAGCAGGCATGGCATGGCACAGACCCCACGGACTTGCCATCTCTGCATTGGATGATCTTGAAGTTCCTGTTCTGTGGATTGAGTAACTCAATGAGTACTTAATGATTGATTTTAAAAGATATGGTTGTGAGTATTATTATCAATATTGAATATCAACCGGGGCACCTGGGTGGCTCAGTCGGTTAAGTGTCCGCCTTCAGCTCGGGTCATGATCCCCGGGGCCTGGGATCAAGTCCCTGATCTGCGGGGAGCCTGCTTCTCCCTCTCCTCTGCTTGCAGCTCCCCCTGCTTGTGCCCTCTCTCTCTCTCTCTGTCAAATAAATAAGTAAAATCTTTAAAAAAAAAATTAAGAATATCAACCAAACATCTACTGAGTAGGCTTCTGTAGGATCTCTTTTTCCTATAGTCAAGAGCAGAAAGAGAAAGAGTTTTCTCTACCTTGGCCCTATTGATTTTTTCTTGTCGTCATAGGGGCCTGTCCTGTGCATTGTAGGATGCTTCACAGCATCCCTGGCCTCTCCCCACTAGACACCATTAGCACCCTCTCCCAGTATGACGTCTGAAAACATCTCCAGACATTGCCAAATTGCCCCCATTTGAGAACCACCGATCTAGACCCCGCAAGGCAAGTCCATCTATGGATACTATTCTGAGTCTTCACGACTCTTTCCTCTGACAATCCTATCTTCCTTTAACAAAAAACCACTTTGAAGAACCACGTCATAGTCATGACTGAAGCTGCTATGACTACTTATCAAAAATGGAAACCAATTAAAAATCTGCCATGGACAGGGGCGCCTGGGTGGCTCAGTCAGTTAAGTGTCTGCCTTCGGCTCAGGTCATGATCCCAGGGTCCTGGGATCGAGTCCCACATCGGGCTCCCGGCTCGGCGGGGAGCCTGCTTCTCCCTCTCCCACTCCCCCTGCTTGTGTTCCATCTCTCACTGTGTCTCTCTGTCAAAAAATAAATAAAATCTTTTAAAAAAAAATCTGCCATGGACAAATACGACTGAGAGTCAGCTCCGAGCTCTCAGCTGAGTGCTGAAGAAAGCCCACTTCAGGGTCTTAAACACAAAGGCATTCCTGAGACAGGTGACTCAGAACAGTGGGTAAATGCTGCCTTAGCAAACCCTCAACGCCAGGAGGAGTTTTTTACCTCGTCAGGTCTTTCTGTGTCTGTCTTGGTCTGTCACTCACTAGCTGTGTGATCTTTCCTCTCTGAGCTGCAGATTCTTCCCTGCAAAATGGGGATAAAAATATGCAGCAGAACGATAGCCAAACTATGGAAAGACTCCAGATGTCCATCGACAAATGAATGGCTAAAAAGATGTGATATATATACAATGGAATATTACTCAGCCATCCAAAAAATGAAATCTTGCCATTTGCAATGACGTGGATAGAACTAGACAGTATTATGCTGAGCGAAATAAGTCAATCAGAGAAAGAGTTATATGAGTTCACTCATACGTGGCATTTAAGAAACAAAACAAAGGAACATAGGGGAAGGGAGGGAAAAATAAAACACGATGAAATCAGAGAGGGAGAAAAACCATAAGAGACCCTTAATCATAGGAAACAAACTGAGGGTTGTTGGAGGGGAGGTGGATGGAGAGATGGGGTAACTGGGTGATGGACATTAAGGAGGGCACATGGTGTAATGAACACTGGGTATTATACAAGACTAATCACTGAACTCTGCCTCTGAAACTAATAATACACTATATGTTAATTAATTGAATTTAAATAAAATACATAGCAGAGACTACTAATTCCCAACACTAATAACCACTTTCGCCTTTCTCCCCGCTCACAAGACCCCGAATTTTAGCTGGTCATATTGCCAGAGGGAAGAAAAGACTACAATTCCCAGCCTTACAAAGATAGAGAAATAGCCTTCCCTACTACCGCCACCCCCTCTTTCTTCCTGTTGCTTGAAACAAGGATGGGGTCCCTGGAGCTAAGGATGTGATACCTGGAGCTCTCGCAACCACCTTGGACTCAAGAAGAAATCTTGAGAATGGAAGCCATGGTTGAGGAAGCAAAAAGAGCAAACAGACCCAGCAGCCTGGCTTCCTGATAACACAGACTTCCCTACCTCTAGACTTCCTTTATGTGAAAAAGAAATGTTATCTTAGTTAAATTGATCTTATGTTAAGTTTTTTGGTCATACACAGTTCCACTTAATCTTAACTTGTGGTGAAGATAATGAGACATACACGTAAATTTTCTAATGAGATACCGAGTGCATTTATAATGGGGCCAGAAGCCACAGCTGGTCACTCCACCACAAGGTTGGGATAAAGCAGAGAGTGATGGAAAATGTTTTCTTTATTCTTAAACATCTTATTGTAACTTAAAATGTGCATTTATTCATTCATATTTTGAGTGATTGTACCTAATTGGAGTTCTGCACATCTCATTAGAATTCCACATGGAGTAATTCGCCCCTATTAAGTCTTTTATCTAAAATAAAGTTCTTTTTTCTAGATAACTCTATTTACACCCTCATATTTTATTGGTTGCATTGCATGTAATTAAACTATATAATTAAAATAGCAGGCACTGCTGGTGTAAACGGGCTTGGGAACCAACAGCTGCGCCTCGGTAAGCATACAGCTCTGCCAACAGAAGCAGAGGTATGAGAACGTTCTTGGGAGGGGCGCCTGGGTGGCTCGGTCGTTAAGCGTCTGCCTTCGGCTCAGGTCATGGTCCCAGGGTCCTGGGATCGAGCCCCGCATTCGGGCTCCCTGCTCAGCGGGAAGCCTGCTTCTCCCTCTCCCACCCGCCCTGCTTGTGTTCCCTCTCTCGCTGTGTCTCTGTCAAATAAATGAATAAAATCTTTAAAAAAAAAAAAAAGAACATTCTTGGGGGTAGCCTGGTGACCGTGAAATTTCAGCTTGTGGTGGTGAACACTGAGTAGGGTTTTTAGAGTGAAAGAAGTGTGTCCTTTAAACTATCAGGTAAATGAGTTCCACTCACCCCAGAGAGAGAGGGGAACTCATATTACCATATGCCTATTATATACCAAGTACCATCAGTACATTTTCTCATTTAAACTTCACAGCTGCTAAATTAGATACAATGTATTATTTCCATCTTACACAAAAGAAACTGAGGGTCAAGGGTCTTAAGTATTTTGCCCCAAATCACACACAGTAGTGGGGCAAGGATTTCAATGTTCATCCATCTAGCTCCAAAACTTCTGCTCTCTCCTCTGCACCATATGTCCGCTTATGGAAGGAAAGAAAGAAGGGTCATCCTACAGAGCCGATTCAGCATCTGGTCAATGTGAGAGGACTCTTCCTGCTCTGTCTTATAATTGCTGGCAGCTGAAGGTGACAGAATATGTGGGAGAATAAAGAAATTCCATACTTACGGGACATGCTCTTCCACAAACATCAAATCGTAGGCACCCGCAGCTGGGAACATGGCATCATTTCTCATCACGAGTGGTCCCTTTGCCCCACAGGGTCTTGCCAGTAGCTCAGATGGGCCAATGCCTATTCCTCACCAGTTGTGAAATGTTTGACTATCATCTCTGGCCAACCCTAACACCAGACCCAACAGGCCACATTGCCCAAGTGGGCTCCAGAGAGATTGATAGAAGTCAAAGAAGCTGAATCCAAGGCCGAACTCAATTGCCCTTGGACAGTATTTTTGGAAAATCCATGTCAAGCAAGCATGGTCCACCCAGGCCACTCCTTCCTTCCGCTGGTGCTCTCTGGCCACAGAATAGGCCTTAAGATGGTCTGCTCCAGGGCCACTCAAATGAGGTAGTACCTACTATCAAAGACTTCACAGTCTGGGGGGACAGACAAATACAGAGCAGGAAGCCGTCAGATTGAGGTAAGCCCAAGCGGCGGTCCAAATAAGGATAATTCCCACCATCCAGGTGAAGGGAAGAGGGTGCCCAGGAGGCCTCCAGAGGAGGCGATGGAGCTGAGCCTGAAGGGATGAGAGGAGGTCAGTGGGGAGGAAAGGCTGGTAAGGAGAATGGGCTTCTAAGCAGAGAGCACAGCTCACGCAGAGGACCTGGGCATGTACAGGGGGAGAGGGAGTAAGAGCAGGAGGGAGTCAGGCTCTTCAGAACTGCAGGACCCCCCCAGGAGGGTCTTAGAGGGCCTGGCCTTCCTGCTTAGCCTTTGATCAGGTAACCTCTGCCTGCCATGCTCCTGGCCCCCTGCCGGATTAAGTCTGGTTCATCCTTCTGATTTCAGCTCAGAACTCACTTCTTCAAAGTCTTTCCTCTTATCTGTCTCTCCTGCTCCATAGGGGCAGAATCTGGGACTTTGCCTGGGGCTAGCACAGGGCCTGGAACACACTAAGCTTGCAGTACATATGTGGTGAGTGAGTAAGTGAGTAAATGGATGAGTGAGGGAATGAATGAATGAATGAATGAATGAGTGAATGAGCGAGTGTGTGGATGAGTGAGTGAATGAGAGTGTGAGTGAATGAGTGTGAGTGAATGAGTAAGTGAATGGTGAGTGAATGAGTGAGTGAATGAGTGAATGAGTGAGGGAGGGAGGGAGTGAGGAGACAGACCATCCAGGACATTGCAAACCATGCATAGAAGCTTCTGTGTGTATCCTAAAGCAGTAGGATCCCACTGAGGGTTTAGGAAGGGGACTAGAGACCCATAAATGAATGGAGGGAGCTAACTCAGAACCGAGTTGAGGAGGGGTTGGGATTGGGCCACAGTGGGAACAGGAGGTCGGTTGGAAGTCTAGTGTAATAACCAGGGAAGGCTATGGGGGGCTTGCTGACCGAACGATCTGTGACAGGTGCCCAGTGCTTACCTGTGCCAAACGCTGGGTTAGCATTTTGAGTCATGACATCGTTGAATCCTCACCTCACCCTGCAAGGGGGAGTTGTTATATTATTATCCCCTGTAAGAAGCTGATGAAACTCCGTGTGCAAGTCACTCAATAAGGAGTGGCCTGTGTCTGAATCACAGACTGCCTCGCTCTGCCCCCAACATGCACCTGAGCGTGGGCAGGTGGGCTCGGGTGCTCAGGCAGCTGAGAGAGGGGTGTCTGCACCACACAGGTTAGGGCGCAGGTGTTGGTTATCTGGGTGTCCGGGTGCCTGGACCCTGGCTCCAGGTTGCAGGACTTCACCCCCGCCAATCTTGTTGGCCCTCTGTGTCTTCACCTCACGCGGATGGCCTGAGGACTGAGTTCCAGAGTTGGGGAGCTGCCCCCACGAAGAGAAAGGATGCTGGCCTGGCTCTGCCGTGAGCCCATCTAGAAACGCAGCCTGGGCCCTACCAGACAGCGTGAGCGGAGCGTATCTTCCAGCTGCTCCCAGTACGCCCATCATAGAGCTGTCTACACCTGCATGCAAATGATTCCAACGCATTCAGACAAATCATGTTTACGTTTGGAATCTAGCTGTCAGGAGACAACAGCTGCCATCAGGTGATTAAGGGCACCTCCAAGGCATGTTTTCAGATTTCAAAAAGCCCTGTGAGCCCACGCTGTTTAAACTGTTTCCCCCGTGGAAGTTTCAGACTGAAGCTTCTTTGTTCCTGCCGCATGACTCATGAATGCCCTTTAAAAGAGAACGAAACAGACGTGTTTTGATGGGGAAAATTCATAAAGAATGCGGTGCATTTTTCCAAACGGCCATCAGACCATCTAATTTAGGCCACTGAGGACAGACCTGCTGAAGCTCTCCGGCTGACCTTCCCCGAGAGGGCTTTGTCCTGGGCCTGGACCCGCTGGTGAAGGACATACTGACCGAGGCGGGGAAGGGAAGACCAGCTTTCCCAGGGCTGTTAGTCTTCCTGAGGTTCCATTTGAAAAGAGGCTTCCTGTTTTTCCAGAATGTTGTTTTTCTGGGTGCAAGTCGTTTTCAGCAGCGTGACGTAATAATTGTCCAAAGATAAGCGTGCATTTAGATAGCACTTACTGTGGGCTAACCATGGTCGGTGTGCAATGACTCCTTTCATTCTCATTGTGTTCCAGATGAAGAACTGAGGCACAGAGATGGTGAGTCACTCGCCCAAGGTCACACAGCGAGTAAGTGGCTCAGCTGGGGTACAAACCGGAAGGTCTGGCTATGGAGTCTGGGCTCTGTGAAGTGGAAAGAGCATTCCCCATGGAGTCAGGGAATGTGGGTGTGAGTGTTGGCTCTACTCTTACAATCTGTGTGCTCTGAGTCTTAGTGTTCTACTCTGCAGCGTGAGGCCAAGGCCAGCTCACATTGCTGGAGGATTAGCCATTGGAGTGGGCCCTCGATGAACACAGGCTGGATCTGAATGGGGGGTGAGCCCGGCAGACCCTCCAGGGGCCTGACCCCACTCCCTCAGGCTTCGGGAGGTCATTCAGTCTCTGCAGCGTTGCATGGAGTAGCAGAAAAAAGCAGGTGAGGATCCAGCAGGCCTTTAGGACATAATAATTCATTGTGAAATGGTCTGGATTGACATGAACAGTGTCCCCTCACACATATACCATATACATATGCATGAGCTCCTACTATACACATAAACATGCACACACACACACATGCGTGGGTCCCTAACACACATCCACGCTCAAAATAACAAAAACTGTAATCCACCAACACTGTACCACCTGGAGAATTTACTGTTAACATCGATCTCGAGGTGTTGCCCTGCCTTGGCTCTGTATCCCCAGGGCCCGGCTTTGGGGGGTGGGCACACATTTCCAGGAAATATGGCCGGTGTGCATCAGCCCTGGTTCTGTTCTCTTTGCCCTGGGAGCCAATTCTGAAATCAGGGCGGTGGAAGGCACAGGAAACAGCTCTCCGGGGCGGGTCCTTCGTCCCTAGGTCACCCTTCCCCCCACCCCGTCTCCCCATCCCCCATTATCTCTGCTCCTCAGCTTCCTTGCCGGCCTCCCACATCTTGCCTCAGGCACCCTGATCCTATTCTTTTTTTTTTTTTTTTTTTAAAGATTTTATTTATTTGTTTGACAGAGAGAGACACAGAGAGAGAGGGAACACAAGCAGGGGGAGTGGGAGAGGGAGAAGCAGGCTTCCCGCCGAGCAGGGAGCCTGATGCGGGGCTCGCTTGGTCCCAGGACCTGGAATCATGACCTGAGCCGAAGGCAGACGCTTAACGACTGAGCCACCCAGGCGCCCCACCCCGATCCTATTCTTGATAGACCTCTGCTCCTACAGGCTGATAAATTCCCTTTTTTATGCTTAAATTCTTTGGAATTGGGTTTTTAATCTTTAATGCAGAAATATAAAGTGTATTGAATGTCAGGCTAAGCAGTTTGCACACGAATTTGATAGGCAGAGGGAGCCTTTGAAGATGTGTACGCAGACAAGCACCCTGGGGTGCCACCATGCACCCTGGGCTGGGTGGCGGGTTCCCACTGGTAAACCCGGCTCGCTCCCCGCCCGCCCTGAGGAGCGCACCGGTAGTTTCATCCAGCAAATACTGCTGAGGGCGGATTGTGTATAAAACGCTGGTGAGTGCTTGCTGACCCCAGCTGCTCCCATGGAACAGTTCCTGATGGTGGTGAAATGGTGCTATTGGAAGGTCAAACTGGTTTGAACCAGCGTGCGGTTGTCCTGGGTGGACCGGATGAAGTGGGGACACACCAGCCATGTGGTGGGGGGACCCCTCCGCTAGAGCAGGGACAAGGGGACTGAAAGCAGGGGCAGCCTTAAAACCACCGACCAGGAAGGAAATGGCAGCGTTTGGGACGACACTTCACAAGCAGAGGGCAGGAATTGGAGTCTGGGCTGTGCCCTTGCTTTGCTCTGTGACCCTGAGCCAGTCACTTAACGTCTCTGAATTTCAGAGGGGAGCGCCCTCCTGACTCTGCCTGCTGAGCAGGGAGAGGAGGGAAATGATGTCACTGTAACATGCCGACTACAGGGGGGCTGTGAGTGCCGTTATAAAATCAGAGACACCGTGGAAGAACCGCACAGACTGTATGAATGCAAGTAATTATTAACTCTTTCGATTAGAACCTCAGGAGCATCCCTATTTCTTGCATGACTACAAAGGCAAAGACAACGGGGACTTGGGACCTAAAAGAGACATAACGATGTCAGATCTCAGCTCGCCCCCTGCACTGGGATGAAAGTGTGAACACATTCTCCCTCTCCCATGGAACAGCCCTCCCAAAGGCAGAGTTTGTCACTAATGAGGGAGACAGGCATGTGCCCAGGCGTGTCAAAACGTCATCTGTCACAACGAACAGAAGTCAATTATCTAGCCCCAGAAATCGCTTCCCTGGATGATAGACAGGAGCTATTAGCGGGTCCTTGGCAGAGACCTTGGCAGCCTCTGATGCTGCATCCGGGCCAGACCGTCCTGCACCAGGGGCCTGACCCTCTCTCGGGGCCCAGGGCCAGGACCAGCCTGCCCCCTTGGCATGGGAGCATCCCAAGGTCCCGTGGGCCCCTGGTGGCCTGGCTGCAAGCCCACAAGCTACCCCCTGGGCCCCTACCAGCCTATTTCCTCTAGTTTGTGACTTGCTAAGTAATCTGGGTTCGGCACAGTTAAAACCCAGAACTTGGCACCGCAAGGGAAGCACAAAGGGACCAAGTATCTGTCCCCCACACCAGCTAAGAGCATGTTTTCTTGGCTGCTTCCCTCTCTGCCTAGCACCTCAGAACAGATGTGGTATCTACAGGCTGGAACAGGCCCGTGGGGGATCATGGACCTCCACAGTCAGATCCGAAAAGCAGCCATTTGATATTTAGATTCTGTTTGCCTCACCTTTACTGTTGGATCCGAGATATTCTTTCCTCCACATTGTGTGACCAGAAATGTGAGAAAAGGAAGCGGGGTTGGGCTACAGAGCGCCATCCCCTCACCCAGCTTCTTTTCTGAGAGAGGTAACAGTTCCAGTGGCCCCGTCCCCATCCCGGGCAGGGGACATGCGCATGGCTTGGTGAAGGGGACTCAGAAGTGCCTTCCTCAAGGGTCTGTACCCGGACACATTGTGACATATTCCTTTTGTGGATAAATAGAAGACAGTTGGCTGTTCTCCCTTCTGATTCATGAGGTTTTGTTTTTTTTTCCCCTTTGTGATTTTTGAGTCAGTTTAGTTTTTTTTTTAATTATGTTATGTTAATCACCATACATTACATCATTAGTTTTTGATATAGTGTTCCATGATTCATTGTTTGCGTATAACCCCCACTGCTCCATGCAGAACATGCCCTCCTTAATAGCCATCACCAGGCTAACCCATCCCCCCACCCCCCTCCCCTCTAGAACCCTCAGTTTGTTTCTCAGAGTTCATAGTGTCTCATGGTTCGTCTCCCTCTCCGATTTCCCCCCTTCATTTTTCCCTTCCTGTTATCTTCTTCTTTTTTTTTTTTAACATATAATGTATCATATGATCTCACTGATATGAGGAATTCTTAATCTCAGGAAACAAACTGAGGGTTGCTGGAGTGGTGGGGGGTGGGAGGGATGGGGTGGCTGGGTGTACCTCTGAGTCAGTTTAGTTTTAATGACATGCCACATAATTTTAGAAACTTAAAGGGACAATTGCCCTATCACTGGGGCTCCTGTCTTACTGTCTGGGTAGAAGGCGAGAGGTTCAGTGCTGCACCGGATCGCTGGGTCGGACTTAGAGAAGATTGTTCACGAAAAAGCACCGGGAACAGTGGGAGACCATGGGCGTCTGAGCTAAGCAACCCCAGCGCGCTGTCCCAGCTGAGTACCCCCACTACTTGGGCGCCCCTGGAAATCACTTCATGAAGTTAGTTTCCTCACCTGCAATACAGGGGCCAATGTCCTTACAGATTGTAGAATCCCTAAATAAAAAAGAACACACATCCAGCATCCGATGAGAGTGAAGTTATTACTTTTTATAAGAACACTCGATTCAGGGACGCCTGGGTGGTTCAGTAGGTTAGCATCTGCCTTCGGCTCAGGTCATGATCCCGGGGTCCTGGGATTGAGTCCCACATCGGGCTCCCTGCTCAGCAGAGAGCCTGCTCCTCCCTCTGCTTGCCACTCCCCCTGCTTGTGTTCCCTCTCTCTGACAAATAAATAAATAAATAAATAAAAACAAAGAACTCTCGATTGAAAGAGGTTATTTGAGATGAAGAGACAATCATCAGGATCTATGTGATGATTATTTAATTCACATGTCAAACCCAATTCAACAGGTGGCTATGAAATAAAATGGAAAGTGATCCTGTGTGAGAAGTATTCTTGAAAGCATAATACATTTAAATTGCAGGGAACTCACCCCCGGACATAAATACACCAGGTACCAAAGTAGCACTCGTAACAATGTTGCCTCCACATGAGAAACATTATCATAATTGGTTTCATGTAAAACACGCACTGAAAGATGAGCAATCAATCGTTTCCTCACAAGGGGTCTGGAACGCACACCAGATGAGCTCTTTAGCTGAACGTATTTTAGAAGAGGCAGAACATGAAGGCCAGCCCTAAGCCTCTAACCAGACTCATCTTGCACACTCAGCCGGCCCAGGCACAAGGTACCTCTCTGTTGCGAGAAGTGCTGTGATAACTGACATGCTATAAAACTCCAGAGAATTAGGAAAAGCCAGCAATCTGCCTTTCTGATTGCTGCCAGAGAATACACTTCACCATTTTATTACCTGTGAAGATAAAATCAAACATTGCCTTTACTCCTGGATGTTGCTCTAATTCAATGCCCCCCTACCTCGTGCGGGCTTGTATGGTGTGTGGCCACTTGTCTGCCTCTTAAATTGCTGGCCACTGGGGCGGGAGCCAAGACTTTTTATAGGCTTTCTCACCGACCTCTGCCAAGACAGATTCTCAAATAATTAGATCTCGCTGCTCTGCCCGTCATTTTT